TTATCGTTAGCATTCCTAATGAATGGTATTAGTCTGCAGCGCCCAAAATTGACGTGCTAATCAACAATGCTGGCGTCATGGGCATTCCCGAGTACAAAAAGGATAAACAGGGCTACGAGTACACGCTGTCGGCCAACTATCTCGGACACTTCCTGCTCACCAACCTCCTGGTTCCCAATCTTCTGGCGGCGGATGAGGCCCGGGTAGTTAACGTCACTAGCCACGGCTACCGTGTCAGCCCCTTCCGCTTCGACGACTGGAACTTTTCAGACGGCAAGACATACGACCAATGGACACCCTACGGCCAGTCCAAGACGGCTCAGATTCTGTTTGCCGTTGCTCTGACCAAGCGGCTCGGGGCGCGCAGCCTAACCAGCACGGCGCTGCATCCGGGAAACATCTTCGAAACGGGCCTGGCCACCCACCTTAAGCTTCCAGACGACTTTGCTAGCGTGGCGGAGATTACCAAACGCAATACCGGCATTGACTGGTACTTTGAGCAACCCACGCAAAAGACCATGACCCAAGGAGCCTCTACTATCCTTCTTGCCGCCCTCGGCACGGACCTGCCGGCCAAGTCGCCTACGTACCTGTCCAACTGCCAGATCAAGGAACCGTTGGAGTATGCCACTAATCCGGAGAATGCCGAAAGGCTGTGGAAGCTCAGCGAGGAGCTGGTCAAGCAGAGATTCGAGTATTAGGAAGTCGCTACTCGATACCTCAAAGCGATGGGGATCTGCTGAAGCTAGTCTTGAGGGTCGGCGAAGTTCAGTTAGTCAGGATGTTGGCCCATATCCATGCAGTTAGGAAAACCGACGTATAAGCACTACATTTCCGCCAGTCTTTTGAGGAAGCGGTCCTAAGGAGATCCTAAGAGCAAGAGACTGCCAATGGAAGTTACCGGCATGACAAACTGCTTCGGGGTAAAAGGGGGCTTGGATGCTAGCCATGGATCAACACAGATGCTCCGCCAAGCCGGCAGCCAATTTAGGTTGCCAGTTGTCGAAGCCGGGCCATGCCTGCTACCTACATTAAAGCAGCTCGGACTAAAGGAGTGTACTATGCAACTAGCATCAGGGTTCCGGATAGGCTTGGACATCTGCCAGGAGAGATATGTGCGGATGTCTCGAAAGACAATGAAGATTCTTAGGCCGTAAGCTGTCATGAATCCTTACAGAATTGATGGCACGTAAGACAAGTTCTCTCAAGCCACCACGCGCGTATAAAGATTACTAATCGTTTCTGTTCCTGAGAGGGGTAAACCAGGAGGTCCGTTAGGGTTGCCGTGGACCTCGACGCCGAAATGTACGTAGCTTTCCATGGAATTAGCACTGTCCCATGCAAGCCAGAATTTGGAATCATTCGGGAAGACAGCACTCACAGCCTCAAATGAGGCAGCCCATACACGGGGTTGAGTAATCATGCCACCGACGTGCGTGCTGTTGCAAGTTGATGAGGAATCATCTGAACAAATGCCGAGTTCGCGGCATACGCCGGTTGGGCATGAGCGACAAAGAGGCACCTCCCGATAGGCGATTCCGAATTGGCAGTCGTTGGCGGGTCACTCCTACCCCAATGCGATGGGGCGCGCAATCGCGTCATCGGCGCACTGACAAATCTGTGGACCTTACATCATTCATCCAGCTCCACCTGATAATTCTGTTTGCGACACCACCCAACCAGCAGTCTGTCCTACCTCCTTCCGAAAGCGTTCTTAAACTCGGCACTCGCCCGTTGATGTCATTTCCCTCCCTACAATGTCCACCCCCGCCAGATTCCTGAGATCGAGCTACACAGCACTCAGAACCACAACACCAATTTCTACTACCCGATCAATACTCGCTTCAAGAAGACAATTTCACGCAAGCTCGCCCAAGATGGTCGTTCACAACATCGCTACGTGAGTTACCCCGCCCAATCAGCGAGCCAGCGGTTTCCCGCGGCTTTACAGCTTCCCACACCTCCGGTCGGCATCAGCTAACAACTTTCGATCACAGCATGGAGCAGTTCAAGGAGACGATCGCCAAGGGCGACGTCGTCCTCATCGACGCATTCGCGACATGGTGCGGTCCTTGCAAGGCCATTGCCCCTCAGATTGCCAAGTACGTTACACTTCATGAATCGAATACCTCGGCACGACCGGTACTGACACATCTTCCCAACCCCAGGTGGTCTGAAGGAGACTTCAAGGACAAGATTCACTTTGCCAAGTTCGACGTCGACGCCCTCCCCGGACTCGCCCAGGAGCTTGGTGTTCGCGCCATGCCCACATTCTACATCTTCAAGGACGGTGAAAAGGTGGACGCGTTCATGGGTGCGAACCCCCAGCCTCTCGAGAAGCTGCTGCAGAAGTACGCTCCTTCGGAGTAGGAAACCAAGGAGCGGGACACAAAGGCTGAGCAACAGGAGGATACCAGTGCCCAGAAGAAGAAGGAAGGAAAGGACGGAGCATAAAGCTACCCCGCCATTCTTGTTACGTCGAGAGCTTTGCTGTACAACATACCACAATACCCCAAAGCCAGAGGCGGCTTGGCGGCGCCGCTGTATTTTAGCGCAATAGACCAAGTCATTCACTGAGGAAGTGCTTCCAAATATGGACTTTGTCACCATTTGCCGACTAAATGACACAATGAGGAACCCGCCGGACTGCATCATTCGGTTGGTCTATGGATCCGACAGCGACGCAAGAGGTTCCAAGGATGGCTGGCTTCAAAGCCTGTGTGGTCCGAGTCTCACGGACTTTTTACGAGCAATGTACATACACAACATGTCAACCAATCTTGGAAAGTACCTGACTCTCGTATCACCGTATTACCGCTTTTTTTTTTGTGTGTACAGGGAAAGCATGAGAGATTATCGCAATTTCGAGTTTGGATTAAATGAGTGGAGGTATGTCACTTAGCCACCTAATATAGCGCCTAGTATTCCTCCCAACAAAGCTGACACACACGCGGATCATATTGCCCAGAGCCTCCACCTAAGTCCCCATAAAAAAGTCCCCCTACATGTTGGTCGATATTGAAGTAAATGAGCGTCCATAGTGTGAGTATAAAGAGTGTAAGGGGAAGTAAAATCAGCCGTTGCTAGAGCCCCCCCCTACCAAATAGTAACCTGTATCCATAGCATTGTTCCAAGCAGCCTTCCGCTCCCGACGTAATCCCTGGGATTCCACCCATACTTCTCGATAGGACACAATGTCTGATGTTGTCGATATTGATCCTGCTGTTGTTGATGGTAAGAAAGCCCGTCCCCCTCCAGATCTGAGTCCCGCCGTAATTACGCAACAGGAGTTGTAATTTGCAAACGAGCTGGTGGATGTGGATGCCGCCCCGCTTTAGAGACGTCCAGGAGCCCCCGCTGGCATGATCTGGGAGGGGGGCGCATCGGAGGGGCTGACGGGTTCGGAGGGGTCGGAAGGGGCAGATGCCTTGGACTCAGCCCACGGCCCGGGGGCCCACGGGGGCGAGGGGTCCCAATATTTTCCAGCATCATCAGGGTTGCCAGGAGCAGATGTCTTGGACTGAGCCCACGGCCCGGGGGCCCAGGGGGGCGAGGGGTCCCAATATCTCCCAGCGCCGCCTTCAGGGTCGGAGGGCTTGGAGCGCTTGACGGCGGCCCAGGGGCCAGGGGCCCAGGGGGGGGAGGGGTCCCAGTATTTCCCAGCACCCTCAGGGTCGGAGGGCTTGGAGCGCCTGACGGCGGCGGCCCAGGGGCCAGGGGCCCAGGGGGGGGAGGGGTCCCAGTATTTCCCAGCACCACCCTCAGGGTCGGATAAAAATTCGATAGGGGTGCGAACGGGAGCTCCCTGAGCCAGCGCAGCAAGCATGGCTGCGAGGATGAAGAGGGTCGATTTCTTGGTGATGGGCATCTTGACGGTTGATATCACCGGTGGATGAGTAACTAAAAAGGAGCTTGATGGTTTTGGTTACGTTGGTTTGGTTTGGTGTGTGAGAAAAGGGAGAGAGTGTTGTTGAGCAGGTATGTCGGAAGGGCCGAGGAGGTTTTATATAGTCCTTCTCAGCGCGTGGACCGCGTAATCCGAACTCAAAAAGAAGATGAGAACTCAGGTCTCACGAGTTATTCTTGGCATTAGGGTCCGCGTGGGGCAAAGATACCTAACTATGGGCAACTATTAGCACGGCTCACAGCTTTTACTGCGGTACTCACCCCTTGGTAAAGCACCACTTCGTAAGCCATTGTGCTGTTGTCGCTGCGGGCTAGTACTTTGGATCTTTCATCAGTTTGAGTGGCAATTTGAGATATAGCAATTCATTGGATACCCAGAGAGAATCTGTTAGTGACTGCCGTGCAACGTCGTGCCATGATAGATCTTAACACTACGTGTCGCTTATCTATACTCCATCTTGCGTGACTTGTAAAATCCCAAGCATAAGCCATGTCGTACTCGATCCAAGTAGTCGGGTCGAAGTCCCCCCCCCCCCCCGGCTTCTAACTTAGGATCGTGTAACAAACAAGGCCCGGTCCTTCTGAGCGGAAGGAAGACGGAGATCAAGGACGAAGAAAAGCCCCGGGCCTGTGTATCGAATCTCAATGGAAAAGTTGCCGAACGGAGAGAATGGGAAGATCAAGGTCGTACACGGATCGTATTTCAACTTCATGATTGGATCCTTCTGTAAAGTGTTCGGGTGTTTCACATGTTTGGAATAAATAGAAGTAAACACCGAAAGTCAACGTAGTCCGTCTAGAATAGACACTATCTGAATTGTACTACATTCATAAAATCTTACATTCATTGCACAGAAGTCTCAAGTCTGGGCATGTAAGGTACTTTCCGTCGCCCTAGGGCCTAGACTTGTCTCACGAACCGAGAGTTAATGGAGGCCTAGAACGCGCCGCTCGGCACTTTAATAGACTCCACAAAATAGTCTCAACTCTCAACGCCGGAGCATACTCCTGATCATCACATTTGAAGCACAGCAAAGTACTCTACATGGGGCACAATTTCGCGGCCCGGAGTCATCCAATCATCAAATCAAATCGGGCCGCTGGTCTAGTGGTATGATTCTCGCTTAGGGTTCAGCCTGAGCACGGTTGCGAGAGGTCCCGGGTTCAATCCCCGGGTGGCCCCAGTTTTTTGTCCATTCCCCCCCCCATGCACCCAACGTATCACGTCCTGCGTTGAGGGGCACGGGATTTGCAGTATTTTTTGTCATAATCATATGTTTCTTATCATTGAGTGTAAGTGCCGGTCCTTTTTCCGAGGCTGCTAAAATTGGTATCTCACGATCTGTCGAGATGCACTGCATCACGGTCTCAGCTTCTCCGGCTGCAGCACATCCTCTTCCAACCCAAACCCATACCTCGGCCTATTCCTAATTTGCTCGTCCAGTCCTGAGGAAATCCCTCCACTTCCCACCCCTGCCTGCAGGTCCAGCAGTCCGTACGCTACCTTCAACCTCTCCACACGCTTCTCCCGTGGCAACAGGGAAGCGGTATCGTCCTCTCCCGTGATAATATTCCCATGATTGTTTTTGATCCGTTCTCCCCAATCAACCTTATCCAGCGCCGGCCCTCTCGTAGCAGCTACTATACTCGAGAATCTCGTATCCCTAGGCACCTTTGCCCCTTCTTCGTTCATCGCCCACAGCCCAGCGACTATTGCCGCCAATGTGAGTAGGATGGATATGCCATAGACAATCCAGAGATCACGGACGTGGTAGCTATAAACGTTCATCATCCTTGACTTTGTACAGGGGTACAGAAAGTCCCCTGGCTGGAGTACGTCCGCGCCACTTTGTTGATCCGGTTTGCTCGCCCACACAACCTCCACAAACTCCGGCTTGCTCAGGATACTGAATATCATGTCCTCATACAGTTCTTGTACCAGGTCTGGTAGGTTCGGATAGGGGAAGTAATTATTCCTTGGGTCAAGAAGTTTGGTCTGTATAGCGAAGGTGTTGACGGTCGGATTGACGAGCGTGTGATCTTTCGGGTTCATCTCCACCGTTCCGTTCAGAAACTCTCTCAACACGAACCCGAGAGAGTGATATGCTGCGGTACGGCGGTATCTCTGGACGTCACTAGGGTAGATGTAGTTCTCTTCGGGGACGGCGGTGACGTTATCCTGCGTCCCGTCATCCGCGTCTATGGATGGTATATATGTCGTGTTGATGATGGGAGCAAGGAAGGTCCGGTTGGTGACCTTTGTGAGCTGGTCCCGGTCCGTGTGGTTGAAGACAACCGAGTACTTGGTCTCGTAGTGCTCGCAGGCAAACATCTTTGGCACGAATGAAGATGCGTTGGAGGCATCGGCATTTGCATCTGTAATGACACTGTATCCGATCCAAACGACTGGTTCTGTCCGAAAGGCGCCGAGATGCGTGGGATACGGAGGCTTTGTGTTCGGTATGCCACCGATCCCAACATCCTTCATCTGGGTAGTGGAGTATTCGCCTCCGCTGGTAAATGCGTAATAGCTGTAGGGACCATTTGGCAGTAGGATGGAGGTGTTGAAGGGAGGCGCAATCTGGCCGGATTGCTGCGTTAGGTTGGTTACTTGGCCCGACGCGTCAAGCAAATCGACGCACTTGTATCCTGGGGCGGTAAAGTCGATCGAGAAGGTGCAGTTCCACCCACTACCGCAGATTTCCATCGATCCATTCTTTCTGTCGACAGCCTGCCCCAAGTAGGCACCGATGGTGGCTGTCTGCTGGAAACTCGGGGCCGGTGCGGTGTAATAGTCGAACCAGCCATCTGGGGGATTCTCAGTGCCCGGTGGCTTGGTGGTATTCCATAGTGATACTGGAATCTCAAAGAGTGGACCAATCCGAGTCGGCTGGCGCCAGTCGTTGGTCTCTTCGAAAGTAAAGTTCAGCGTCCGGATTCCGGGGCACGTAGTCTTGGTGAGGATGGTTGTAGGCTCGACGAGGAGTGTGTTGGCGGTGAGGATAACCACCAGGGGCGCTATCCAGACAAACACAGCCAAAGCGATGGCAGTTCTTGCAGTGCGGATGAGCTCCCAGTTCCACAGGGCCGTGAAGTCTTCGGTAGCGGCGAAAAGTGAGTCGAGTGCCGCGACCGTCATCAGCCGCGTACGAATTGTTGTCCACACGCGCTGCCGAAAGGCTACGACGACCGCGGCGCTCAAGCCTGCCTTTGCTGCGAATGCCAAAAAAGTCCCATACCGCAACATCTGAAGCTGGTCATCCACGGGCTTTCCGTTCAGTGCAGAGTAGTACGCGTGGTGAGCGCCTGCACAGACGAGGCCAAAGACAAAGAAGAGGTACATGTTCCATGACGAGTGCCATCTCCAGGACCGCGACCACGGCCAGACCCAGCGGCGGCTCGGGCCGCGAATCGGCGTTTTGGGGACGTAGCTGGAGGACTCATACCGCGTTACCTCTGGGTAAAACGTAGGGTCTTTTGAGCCATCGTAAGTTGAAGGCGCTGGCTCTGGTGTACTGTTGCTCTGGTGCAACAATGCATCATCTCTTGATTCGGTGGACACATGTCGCTGCTGCCGAGAGTAGAATGAATTGCTGTTGTACGAAGTGTCCGCATATTCGCCTCCTTGTGAGAGCGACGACGCTTCCGAGAAGCTGCTGGTCGGGCGAAGTGCGGGGTGGAGTTCACCGAGCGGCACTGGCTGCGACGTCATCTCCCGATTGCCGGTCGGTAGCACTGCCGCGCCGCTGAATGGAACATAAATTCAATGCCGATGGCTTACGCTGCGCCGTTCACGCACCGGTGACACTGCAGTATCTGAGGTCGCCTGGCTAATTTGAATGGATTGATAGGAGCACAAAAATGCGGTGGCTGGGAGCATTCGAACTAGTTTTCAGATGAAAAGTCCAGAGGCCCACGAATGTACAGTACGATAGGCCCAAAAATCCAATCATGGCTGGGCTTGGTGTGCCGTGTCTGATTTGGGCCAATGGTAAGAACTCTGATGTGTCGGTAACTACAGTGAGGCTGAGCACTAATGATCTACTAGCTAAGGAACAAGATAAGTTAGATAACGTCCATGCGCTGTTTTTTTTTTGACACAGTCTACGGAGTACCTATACCTCCACAGGGAATACAAAGGTTAGTGCGGACAAGGGGTGGACAGGGGCTTGCTGTTAGATGATTTGCTAGAAGCTTCGCCTTTGCGACAAACAAGCGCACTGACATGGCACTAACCTTTGTAATCCCTGTGGAGGTATAGGTACGTACTTAATTCATCCCATATCTGGCAGCATTATGTCGATCACCTGTTCCTAACGCTAGACCATGGTAGAATCTTGGTATCAAGCATATTACTGTGGTAGAGCAGGTGCTTGGCGTAACTCGAGTAAATATAAATGCGCCCCGGTTCTCATACAATCCTTCGACAGCGCTCTCAGTGTGCAATTCATAGTTCACACTAAGATGACTGCCAACTGGTTGGTTAAATATCATCAGAACTAGGCGAACCCAGTGTGGATTTGCAATGTCCAATGTAACAAAATGTAAAATGGGATTATCGGTGATCTTCAGTAAAGATTTAACATCAAGCGTGCAGCATTCCAGTTTCTGTCAGGTTCCCACCTGTCTTGAACGCGCAATGCTTTACTCAAAGAAAGGAACGTGTATGACCTCACACTCCGATATCTTCTAAAACAAACCTTGGAACAAGCTATGCATACCTTACTCAGCACCCTGAACTCTCAAACCCACAAGACTCGCTGGCATTGAAAGGTTTGCAGCTTTCTGCAAAATGACACCGTCAAGATGCATTTGCAGTCAATTGCAGCGTTGCATTGCAGAAAAAAGGCGCGCGCCTTACCTTATCGCGAGGGAATGGCCTGACTTCTATGTGAAGCGGAGCCGGGAATGCAAGGCCGCTGGCCACGGCCAAGCGGCATTCAACCGGGGGATGGTTCTGGGCCGTGCCAAGCCAGAGATATAGTTAGGGCGCGCCGAGTTCGTCCGGCCTGGTTACAAAGATCCGTAGATAACCGGGCATCCCCTTCCTCATAATTCGTCTCGAAATCGTGAACTTTGCTAACGTTTGAGCCAATTGGTTTTATGCTTGGGAAGTATCGAGTTTTGGACCAGAAAACGTCAGTCGAGAGTCAATCCCGTGCCACAGCTGAAATGCCCAGGATAGTGGTTATCGGGTAAGTCCCCGCGCCCCGGTACCGGCGTGGCCCACCACCCTCATGGTCTCGTGAGCCACGGCAGCTAATTCCCCAACAGAGCTGGCGTGAGCGGCCTCACCTGCGCGCTATTGCTAGCCAAGCAGAGCAAAGATAATGCCGTCACAGTAGTTGCAAAGCATATGCCCGGCGACTACGATGTCGAGTACACCTCGCCATGGGCTGGCGCCAACGTGTTGCCAATGGCACTCGAAAAAGACAGCCGGTATGAGCGGCGGACATGGCCTGAACTCCGCCGGCTTGCGGCCGAGGTCCCGGAGTCAGGGATTCACTTCCAAAGAGCGTATACCCTTTAGCCCTCTTTCACACAGCTGTTTATCTGACAAAAAAAAACAGAGGCGCGCGTGCTACGAAGAAAACAGGACTACCAAGCGAACGGCGAGTTCAAGGGCGCGTTGTCAGACGGCCTGTTCGCCTGTAGCCCGTGGTACAAGGACGTGATGGACAACTATCGGGAGCTGCCATCCTCCGAATTGCCGGAGGGTATTCACTCCGGTTGCGAGTTTACTTCAGTGTGCATCAACACGGCCATATACCTGTCGTGGCTAGTCAGTCAGCTAGCTGCCCACGGCGTAGTGTTCAAGCGCGCAGTTTTGCGACACATCTCCGAGGCCGCTGGCATGCATCATACTGGGCAAAAAGCTGACATAGTCATCAACGCTTCTGGCCTGCTGGCTTGTAAACTGGGAGGGGTGATGGACAGTGCCGTGATTCCCGCGAGGGGTCAGATAATCGTCGTGCGAAACGAGTGTCCAGACCTTGGCTACATGGTCTCCACCAGCGGATCGGATGATGGCGATGGCGACGAGATGTGCTATACCATGACCCGCGCCCTTGGCGGAGGGACCATCTTGGGAGGGACATACCAGAAGGGAAACTGGGATAGTCAACCCGACCCGAACATCGCGGTGCGCATAATGAAGAGGGTTGTGGATAACTACCCGCAACT